AACATCTGAGCGGAGATTCAATTATATGCACTACTTCATTTATTTAGCTGTCCAGTCGCACTGATCAGACTTGGAAATTAAGAGGCATGCGGTTAGAGGGATCCTGTCAAATCACATTTAGCCCTGCTCTTCCCTGCTTGGATTTTTAAAATGCAGCTTTTTTTACATGACCTGCAGCTACAAAACAACTTTCTGCTACTCTTCCTAAAGAATAAAAACAAATCCAGTGGAAAGGAGCGAGGGCAAAACCAGTTCCCGGCTCTGTTTCCAGCCCGAACTCTGCAGCAGTGAAGCTCTAGGTGTTTTAAACCCTCACTCTCTGAGCAGGCAGTGCCAGGGTGCTGGGGCAGGAGCAGCTCATTGCATGGCAGGGGCCTCGGGGGAGCCGGAGGAAGGAGGCCGGGAGAAGGCGGCGCGGGATTTTTTGCAGTTATTTTTCAAGCAGAGGGCCAGCAGGATTTGCAAACCTCCTCCCCCAGTTTAGGACTGAGCTAAAAATGCCTCTCGCCACACCCTGCCCTCGCCCAATGCCTCACGTGCCAGTGTCATGGTGTGTGCGGGACAGATAAGGCCCTGCTGAGAAACTATGTTGGAGTCAGTGCGCAGCAATCCTGACACCCCAGCCCCATGGGGATGGCGCCGGGGAGCCACCAGCGATCCCAGCATCCCCCCGGGATAAAAGCCCTGTAGAGAGCTGCAGTGGAGGTGAAGCTTCCCCCTCCTTATTTCACCCCAAGGGAAAAGAAAAAGGTCCCTCAGCAGTGAACAACAGCAAAGCTGGGGCCAGCTGTGTCACCAGGCAGGACAGCCCTGTCCCTGCCAGCATGGCACATTGTTCCTTGTGCCTGGAGAGTTTGCAGAAGGATGCGGCGACACCATGGAGCAGCTGGGGCTGCTGGAGGCTGAGCCATGGCAGTGTGGTTGCGGCTGGGACACGTGTCCCATGAGGGGGACATGGGGGAGAGCAGGGTTTGTGCTCTGGCAGCAGCTGGAGCCCCTTCCTCCTGCTAACTCAGTGTCTGCTCCACTGGTGTTTGAGGTTGAAAGCAGCCACGCTGTGCCGGGAAGTGGCTGAGCCTCGCCGAGATGCCAGGGGCTGGCCCGAGTTGCGCAAGGGAATGGGACGCTGCTGAAATCTGTCCCCTGCGCCCGAGCATTGCTGCTTCTGGGCACCAGCTCCAAACCTGAACCCTCTGCTTCTGCCATGGGAGCCTGGGCCAAGCCCAGAGGTGCTGGTGGCACTGGTCCTATGCTGGGATCATGTCCCCATCCCTATTCACACCCCGGTACCAGCAACCTCTGGTGATGGGGTCACAGCATCCCTCAATGCCCCAAGCAGGGTTTGGCTTTCCCCTCCAGCCAGGTAGTGGGGCCTCGGGCGTCCCAGCCCTACCCCACTGCCCAAACTAGGGGCAGCAGCGTGGGTCCAGGCAGGAATTTGGGGGCTTTCTGTGTTATTTAATGGGGGTTTTAGTGCTGTTAGTGACCAGGGAAGGCTCCAAAGGGGGGGGTCAGTGGGGCCAGCCCAGCCCTGGGGTGGCTGCCCCTTATCCCTGACCTGAGCTGGGGTGGCCTCTTGTCCCGGAGGGCAGCTCATCCCCTCGCATCTGGTGCCACTGATAAGGGCTGGGGAGCGGGGGGGCAG